TCGCCGTTCACTGTCCGTGTCTGTTGACTTCAACCAGCGTTGGCAGCGGTGGGCTGTGTACACCGTGCATGCTTCGGAAAAGCTCCCCCCGTCTCCATATCCAGATGCCCGTTGACTTCGTTCGTATCTGCGACGTGGGCGGGGTACACCTTGCATGCCGCGAGAGACTGCCCCCACCTGAATGTCCCAATCCTTTAGTTGGTCTGTCCTTTATCCCACACAGGCCACCCAGTCTCTAATGGAACGGTGGCATGTCTCAGGCCCACAGGCCCAGTAGCAGGACCCAGGTACCAGGCCGTAGCACCAATGTTAATGATACCAACTCGCAGCGAGCAGCAGTGCCGAAGATAGTTGAACCGTACCAGTTTTGGACCGGACCGAATATGATAATACCAGACCGCCATGAGTGTCACCAGCGCTGGGCCCGAAGAGAAGAAATGAATAGGTCGAGTTGCAGCTCCGCTTAGTACCRTACCAGTTACCGAGCCATAAGAATTAGGAGCAGGCTGCAGTACGCTGCCCCGGTGTCATCCCTGTACCGAACCAACAAGTCACAATTACCGTACCAAAAYGGCATAGCTGGCTAGAGCGGCATTCGCCAGTCCCGTTACCATACCAGCCCAACGCCGGACGCCGTAAAGTGCAGCAAAAGTGTCGTGACCATACYGAACCAGTGTACCGTACCAAGATAATAATGTKGCGTGACCCGTCCCAAAATGGAATCGATAGCCRCAGCCATCCGACCATGTTATAGCAACCCCGAAACTGGTACCGCTCAGYGCTCGAGAATTACACCCGAGTTATAACTAAAGTAATAATCAGTTSAATCGGGRAAAAATTACACGTGAATTTATAATTATCGGAAGTCCGTACAAACAGATGAAATCATGATGAATGAATAATTCCTAGTTAAAATCATCACAAATAAACGTCGTTAAAATTGATCAAATAATAAACAATCATTCGTTGTCCTCTCTTTTATTATTTTTAATTATTTTCTTCCTTCTTAATTCTATTATCGGAAATAATGACTAAGCAGGGCGACCCCGTTAAAATTAAATACCGAGGAAATTTAATAGAATAAGGAAACCGTTTTCTCTTCCCATCTATTGTTTTCAACTTTTCTTCCATTTTTAATTTCGATATTAAGATTAAGGAAATTCGAGGTATCATTCCCGCACCAATAATGCAAGATAAAAGGGCCGTGGCAAGGCTTACTCCCGTATTCCCATCCCGCGGCTAGCTGCTTCGGGAATAGACTCRGAACAAGCGAAAAAGAGGTGGGGCACAGTGTGGTAGAAGTKGTAACTCCCCTCGTTAATTTGAGGGTTACTCTCAGTGGTCAGCACACCCAAAATTGGGGGTGCTCTGGGTACCCCTGATTTTCCCCGTCAGGTCAAACAAGAGTACCGTCAAAATACGGTCTAGTCATCGAGTCGAAGAGTCAACACCGCTGACGTAGGGTGGCCCACTGCCTGTGGCCGCCCGACGGCTAGCCCGGACCTCTTCTCGACGCCCCCGTCGAGCCCTAGCAACTGACGTCAGACGATGCGGACGAGCTTCAGGGTGATGGTCCGTAAAGGACGCCCTCGTCGGCGTTCAATTATCTTATGTTTCAGTTTGTTATGAGTCCTGGGGCTAAGAAGATGCTTCTTGTCTCTCCTGTTTGTTCTGGTTTTTGGCCCCTGCACGATCCTCTTTTTCTTCTGTCTTTGCCCCGAGAAGGGTCTAACGCGAACTCTCCGTCTAGCTCGCTTGAGCACGAATATCCATCTCTTCTCTCTTCCTAAAGCTAACCCTATGACCTTTCTCTTCTCTATTCTTTTCCTTTTCTTGGAACTCTCCCCTGCCTCGAATCGCCTCAAGGGGGCTCCATCCTCCATTATGGCTTTTCCTTTCCCTTTCGGGCTGGGCAGTGATAAGGCGGGCGCGGGCCTGGGCCTAAACAACTTTAACCTAGCACCCGCCACTGGGTCCTTCCACTTGGATCCGTCTGATTCTGCTATCATATATGCACCCCAGTCGAGTGCCTTAACCACTATGTAAGGTCCCATCCATCTGTTGGCGAGTTTTCCGGTCTAGGTTCTTTCCAGCGCTGCATCGTAGAGAAGGACCATATCTCCTACACTCACCCTCTCCTTCCTGATCCGCACGTTCTTATCCCATCTCTTTTTACCCTTGTCCCTTTCCACTGCCAGACGATCTGTCGCTGTCATGAGGTTATCTTCCAAACCGTAGGCTATCTGTCTTGTTCGTGCAGCTATGAGTTCCTCTCTGGACATCTCCTCCGCCCAGTCGACGGTTGTCCAGCTGTCGACGTGAAACTCTATGGGAAGGGGACAATGCCGCCCAAACCATAAGGTGTATGGAGGGTATCCCGTGCTAGCCCGGAGCGTGACGTTGTCCGCCCAAATTGCGTATCGAAAATATCGTGGCCAATCACTGTCCTTACCTCTGCACCACTTGGATAGCGACGCTATCAGGGTCTGGTGCCCTTTCTCTACTGGGGAGTTCGACTGCGGGTGGTAGGCAGTAGCTATCGAAACTCTCGCCCCAGCTCTCTTGAACACACTCTGAACCTCGTCAGCTAGGAATTMTGCCCCTCTGTCCATCACTATCTTGCTGACACAACCATACCTAGATAAGTACTCTAGAACGAATTTCTTCACTTCCTTTGCCGTCTTACTCCTGATAGGCCTACCGTCTACAAACCCCGTGAAGCCGTCTCGTATGTTCACGACATAGTTCATATTGCCGACCCCTTTCGGCATTTTCACCAGATCGATGTGTACCTTCTCTCCTAGTCTGGTTGGATAGGATGGATGAAGTGACTCTTTGTATTTCACAAGAGCTCTCTTTTGGCATTCTTCGCAGGTCATACAGTATCTCTCGACGTACTTATACTGTTCTTCCCACCAGTACAACCTGCGTACCTTTTCGTAGGTTCCTTTGACTCCCCTGTGTCCTCCGACTACCCCGTCGTGAAGCTCCGCAACTATTGTCTGTCTCTCCTCAGGGTTACAGACTACTCGTACGGGCATTCCCCAGCCGCCCGGCCTCCGAAACAGATGGCCAGCTCTAAGGCAGTACTGAGCTGCTTGTCTCCGGATATCTGATTCTTGACTCTCCTTTCCTGACAAATGTAACCTGATCATTCGGTATTTGCCCTCGTAAAGGTTAACCAGAAATCGCTCGGTGCGTCCTGGCTCTGCCATAGTCAGGGCCCCGGCTACTATCGGGCGCTCGGCCTCAAGAGGGATGTGCGAAAGTTCATCTGCCACGACATTTTTAGTGTCAGATATCCTCTCAACCGTGTAATCATATAGCCGAATTCGTATTAACCATCGTGCAATAGTCGGGTCTGTCAGGCTAAAATCCTTCTGGAGGACAGAGGCAACCGTGGTGCGATCTACTCTCAAGATGAACCGCCGTCCATAGATATAATGTCTGAACATGTCTAGACACCGCAGAACAGTTAATACTTCCTTCTTGAATTGACTGTAGTTTCGCTCCGCCGTATTTACTGTCCTACTCTCAAATCTTAATGGTCTTTCTTTCCCTTCAGTGTCCTTCTGCGACAGCAACCCTCCTATCGAACAAGGCCCAGCATCCGTGGCTACTATGAAGGGTCTCCCAGCCTCATCATCAAAGTACGGCACGCCCAGTACGCGTCCTCCCTCCTTAAATTCATCTTTAAGCTTTTGCATAGCGAGTTCCTGCGAGGAATCCCAGTAGAATTTCTCAGTTTTTCGAAGGAGTAGTCTCAATGGCTCAGCCTTCTCTGCATACCCTCGTATGAATATTCGCCAGTAACCGACCACTCCCAGAAACTGTCGGACCTCGGTTGGACTATGTAATGGTGACGGTCAGTTCAGGAGTTTGTCTAACTTCGCCGGATCTGCTCGGCGTCCCCTCGCGTCACAGATAAAGCCCAAGATCTTAATAGTCGAGACGGCCCATCGACTCTTTGTTCCGCTGACTGTTAGATTCGCATCGTCCAGCTGCTCGAGTACCGCGCTGATATCCGTTAGGTGTTGCTCGACGAATCTTCTAACTCCAGGTGCAACCTCTGCCTCATCCTTATTTCCTGACCCTTTTATAGGAAAGTCATCCAGAAAAACTTCAACCTTATCAGGGATTAAGTCCTTGAGGACGGCTACCATGGCTCTCTGAAAAACGGCTATCCCATTAGTCCAACCCATAGGGACAACCATCATCTGTATCAGTCCCAATGGCGTATGCATAGCCGTGAGGTGCCTGTCTCTAGGGTCAAGCGGTACCTCATCATAACCTGAGAACAGATCACAGACCGAATAAATCGACCTACCTGCGGCG